CAAGGCAGCCATCATAAAAATATACTGGATAAATAATGACACTATAAGGAATGCATCTTTATAAGCACCATGATATAATGACCTTTTTAACAGATTAATCACTTTAATAAGACAATCCCTCCAAAAACATACTGTATCATATCTGTTATAAGAGAGTACAAATGAAACATGGAATAATGACATAACAAGAAACAATATGTGACTAAAAACTGGAAAATGTAAATCAACTGGGGACTAGTGTAAAGCTTTGGGGGATGTTTAGCAAACCATTTAACATTCAAGTCAACAAAATCTTCAGTGACTGCATAATAAGGCATATAAACATCTATCATCTTGTCTTTTATTACATCTACTTTAAATTCTATTCCCTTAAACGTATAACTTTCTTCATATCTACTCTAAATTTTCTTGACTTCATTGCATAACTTTCTTCACGTCTACTCTAAATTTTCTACACATAAATACATAACTTTTTTCAAACATGTCAAACAGAATCCTTCGTCAACTTACTATGGCAATTATCCCTAGCATGGAGAACCAGCGACCAAGGGAAGAGAGAGGTTTCCAGTCATAATCCACCCACACATACGGCCCAAACTGCGCCATGATGCGCCGAAGTTTCCCTCTGTACATGACAAAAGTTACCATTATGCTTGGTTAATAAGGTGTAAATTTAGGTTTGTCTGTTTTTAATCACTACTGGCTGAAAAGGGGAAAAAAAATACTATTACAGTCTGGGCATTCTAAGGCAGTTGGACATTCCACAATCTGATTCAACTTTCCTCATGCTCTAAGATAATATGAAATAAACTTACTATACACTTCTATCATCTTCTAAAACTCATTTGCTTGACAGATATCATTCTAATCTAACAAAGTCAGTTCACAAAGACTGTCCACTTGCAAAACCAAAATTAAACACAATGTGCCGGCATAAGACACGGACAAAAGCAAGGTTCTCACATTCCCGGAAGCAGGTTTAGTGGTCTACAGTACCTGTATGTGGGGATGTTCCAGAGGCCTCTCCAGTGGTAAGTCTTCATGGAGAAATACTTTAGAGATTGAAGCCCACAGTAGATACCCAGACCATTACACAATAGGGCATCCATTATCCACTAGAAAAAATAAAAATCGATGATCGGAAAACTGCTGAAAAATGTGCGTAGGAAAAAACAACAAAAATGAACATAATCGTCGACTAAAAACCAATACAAGGGGTTAGGAGAGTCAGACTTATAATGTCTAGCTACAAGAAATATCTTAAAAAAGAAACTCTTCATCCAATAGTTCTCTGCTCATGCACTCTCTTCATTCTACTAGAAACAAGTGTTTAAGATAATACTGTACTGTACATACAATAACAATACTGTACTAATAATTCAAAGCACTGTCATTAGTATCACGAAAGAAATAACTGCATGTGTATATATAAATGTGTTGTCTGGAGGCTATGTCAGGTTTTAAAGATCATGTACATAAAACAATTAAAAAAGTTTTAAGATTACAGCAAAATAGGAAATAAAATGTTTTTGTTTTGTCATGGCACAATATTACATACTAGAATTTTTTATATACTGTATATAATTAGAGAAGCAATAAAACATTGGACAAAATAAATTAGCATGCAACAGTTTCATCTGGATTATTATGCACATGACTCATAAGAGCTCAGGAATTGCATGTAGAGCCGTAGAACTGAAAGTGGAGGTAAAAAAGCAATTAAATAAACTCATATTCAGGAGCAGCTCATTAGCCCAAGCTGCTTACACCCCATAACTTCCACTGAAAAGAGAAAGTCAAACTAAATTTTTCAATCCAAATACATCTTGGACATAATCAAAGTAAAAATGGCTGTAGTCGGTGGTGTGGGATCAGCCATTGAGTTTACTTCAGCAGTGTGTGTTAGGCAATGTTGCATGTCTTAATCTGTTCATAAATATATACGGGGGTAATAATTAAAGAAAAAATTAATCATGAGGTTCCATTACCATTTTCTGTGTAATTATATAATAATAAATATACTCAACAGTCCCCAAGCAAGTGACAGAGATAACAGAATGTACAGCAGCATACAATAATTAAAATCTACTGAGGAAGAATATTACACAAATTACAGTTATAAATTAATGAAAATAACTGTACAGTATATATTGTACTGTACTTGGATGTATCTGTATATTTCTCAGTGTGTGTACTGCATGCTCACATACTTGTTGAAACATAGCGTAAGTTGATAAACAATGGGTTATCATGTGAGCAACATCAACTTCACTACAGTATTTACTTTTTACTTTCCTGCAAAAACTAATGTATATTGTGATAAGAGAATTCCATTTCCATGTACTGATCGCTATAAGAACAGCCCAGTCCCAATCATTGCAAAAATTATCACAACATGTAATCCACCAGTGTATTCACTCCCAGTCAATCTCACCTCTTTGCACTGTCCCGATGTTAAAATGCCCTGTAGTATAACCTTCTCCCCACCTACAGTAGTTATTATATATCATATTTGTATCACTTATGTTACGTGTACGTATATTATTTGTCAATCAAGATATCCATTCCCCAATTACGTAACTATATTTTCAGCCTCCCGGCTGCCATGCTCTTTCAATAAACCATTAATTGTTATTATTTAATTATTATAATAAAATAGATTAATGAAAACTTTCATATCATTGTTGGCATTTATACAAGTCCACCATCTTTCTAGGAGACTGAATTAGTGATAAAAAATATTGTATCCCCCAATTTCAACAATATTGCTTCATATGCACTGTATACTGGTGTCTCTTGATACATGGGAAGGATTACATTCCTAAAAAGTTGACCATAAATAAAATTTCTGTATTCAGAACCATTAATGCACATGGACTTCCATTACATACAAGTACTGTAGGTCCCTGATTTACAAAGATTCGGTTCATGAAAATTTGAAGCTACAAAAAAAAAATATTTGTCCCATGTAAGCAAAGGTTTCAAAGACAGTAGTTATTCAGGGCTTTCCAAAACTTCTCTCTTTCCTTTATTTTCTCCCCTCCTGGACAGCATCCATCACACAGCACCACCACACCAATTGCTCTTAACCTTCGAGTCTCTCAATATCTCGTTCATTTTGTTTAGCCCAAAGCCAGGATGTGAAGGTGTATTTAATTCATCATTACTTCAATCTCTCCCTTCTTTTCATCCTTATTTTATCCATGCAGATTGTTTTTGCTCTCATCTATCATTGGTAACAGAAACACACAGGGTAGGGTTACAAGACTCACTACACCCAATGGACTAGCTGTGCAGTAAATGGGTAATGGGGTCACTACTGTATACTCTACCCTTATTAATTATACAAAAATAATTCATTCTTGCAAACCCCTTTCTTGCTATATCGCAGGGTGGCCAGAATTAAGAGCAGCGAGTAACTCTTACTACCATAAAAGATGTGTTCTACTAAAGAGTTACCCTTCAAAAACAAGACAATACGTATATATATATCAGATTTATCCTTGTCACTTCACACAACTTAGCATCATCCAAAATAATAATAATAATAATAATACAAATAATAATAATAAAATAATAATAAATCACTAAAAAACTAACAAAATATAACCTAGGAAACATGAATCTATCACCACAACTAGACTTACATGATCCCACCAGCACTCGGAGAAGTTGGGTAGCTGGTGCTCTAGCGTGTACTCCAGAATCTCAAACATGACCGAGATAACCCAGCAGAGCCACCAGTCTCGTAGCAGCAGTGTCTTTAACCACCACCCAAAGAAATGTAGTGGCACAAATAGGTCTGTTTTATCCTGTTGGGGTAGAAAATAACTAAATCAATCACACTGTTTACTAATATATACGTACATGGGGAGTAGAGGAAGGAAGGGAGACGTCAGATTTGAAAATGAACATCAATATATGCAACAGCTTCCTAAACTTCTTCCAGCCGCTTCCGACTCTTGCCCTAGTTTAGCTTTGGCATCACCTCCAGCAATGATCATGTCACATCCTGTTGACAGTTTGTACGTCTTGTGTACCGACCTTCCACAGTCACTGCCAATGCCTTTCTCAGACAGCATATTGCTATTTTCTATTATCCACCACAGGTCCTTCACCCACGCCACTAATCAATACTTTAATTTTGGTCACATTTACTCTCATACCCTTCAACCTAACCTAACCTTCCACTTCTTAAATTTCCCCATTACCTCTTCAACACTATCCACTACCAACACTACATCAGCAGCATAAAATAACTCATAAGGTAGACTGATCCTAAAATCTTGCAATACTGCCTATGACACTAAGATAAACAGATGGTGGCTAAACACAAACCCTTAATGGACCCCCTACTTTCAACTCAATTTCCTCACCATATTCTCTCACATTGATTCTTGAACAAAGCATATTTTGGTAACATCCTGCCACGCATTCAAAGTAAGACAACAGGTGGTTCTATTGTGCAGATTAAACTAATGCACTGTATCTCAAGCCATCTGCAAAACCTCCAGAGTCCAGACCATTAAAGCTTCATGACAGGTAACCGATTTACTACTGGCATAACTAGACACTAATCACAAGATGCGATCAACTCACCTTTATATTATGATATGGGTCGTCTGGGTTTTCCTGATCATATAAGTGACAGTTTCCCCCATAATCTTTCTCCTCCATGGGTTCCCCCAACTTAGGGTCAATGTGTTTCAATAATTGACGGGCACCGGACGCACTCTAGAAAGAAAGAAAAATAAAGGATTAATTCTGATATTCAATTTTCAAACTGAGTTGGGATCAGTCAACTCACATATAGTCAGCAGGTCTACAGGGTGAAAACCAAGTTCCCTGGAAATCAAAAGTTGTGGCTGGAGAATAAAAATTAGATAACTTAAAAAAAATCAGACAGATTTCCCAAACAATATCAATTACTGTATCTCAAAGGAGACACTTGGTACAATCTGGAGCTAACTCAGACCAAGTCTAGAATTGCATGTACAGGACTATAAATGTTGTATTGATGATATTTTATTCATGATACCAACCACAATGATACAGTCAGTGAGGCACAGGCAACTAACTGTTACTTTACCACCAATATTTGCTCATTGGAGAAATGTATTTTATTCTATGTACTGATCAATATGAGAGTTGTGGATGAAAATATTTTGGGTTCAAATTCAAACCAATATCTCATTTACTTGACTATGATAAGCTGCTACCATTAAATTTAAATGTCCTTGTCCTTTAAAAACACTGTACATTATATAGTAAAAAGTACAGTATACTGTATTATTTTTTATGTTAAGTATAAAACTCTTTGCAAAATTAATTCCTTTTAATTCACATTTTATATCAACAAGTCATATCTTTTATTCTTCCACATAATCTTCAGTCTCATTCAACATGACTGTACTGTACTTCCATTCAATCTTTCTAACATATATTTAATATAATTTTACTGTTCTTACATTCCCAATGATCATAAACTAAAACAAAAGCTGTGGGATGTAGTGTCACATTGAAAGATAGGAAACTCTGTTCACAGCCAAGAGGTTAAGGTGGATGTAGAGAATGTTGGCAAAGTTTTGACTAGAGGAAGAAGGCTCAGATGGTTTCGGCATACAGAAAAATTGAGAGATAACAATTACGTCAACAGGTCCATCAGTAAATGTAGAGGGGAGGAGAGCCAGAGGCAGGCCAAGAATGACATGGAAAATTTTTTATAAAATTTGATGCCAGAGTTAAGAACCTGATGAGAGAGGCTGCAAGAGACTGCAGCATGGAGAGCTGCCATCAGGGAATCACAGCTAACCCACATAAGCATGGAATATGGATATAAAACACTGGTGATAACTATGATGATGATGAGATAATATATTTCTTTAGAGAAGCAAGAATTACATTTTGTAACCAATTTCCTTTACATCTGAAATTTTTTAACCAAATTGTGAACCATCATCATATTCACTCTGAAAAATCAAAAGGGACTTGGCACATACTTGATATAACATAAATATAAGGCCAAGCTCATAAACGATGGAGATGATAAAGGTGAACCTCCAGATGGCTGGGTGTGGTCGCTTAAATGGTCCATCTGGTGTTACAGTTACTCCCAAGAGGATAAATGCAGACACACTGGCAACTAAACCTCTGAAAAAAAAATAATATCAGTTGGAAAATATGTTGTTTTACTTACAGGTAGATTGTACAGAATACCAAAGTAATACAACAAAGGGAATAAAAATCCTAAAGTATGTTATATCATTCTGTATACAATACTGCCCCTGACAATTTATGAATTTGTTTCTAGACAGTCATCCAACTGAAATTTACAGATTTGAATTTTTCTTTCAAGTCGTTACTGATTTCCTTTCATTATTATTGTTTCCTTTATTAAAAAAAATGAATTCATCTAAAAATGTATACAGTGCTCTACTGTATTTAGTCTCCTGCTCATTCACTTAACCAGCTCATAGTTTTATTCTTCTAATAACATGTGAGAAATTTGATGTGAGAACAGGGATCTTTCAGGGGTCTGTCTTGAGCCCCCTTCAGTTTACCATGGTGCTGGAGGATATTATATCACAAGACTTTAAGACTGGTCTACCCTAGGAGTTGTTGTAAGCTGATGAATTAGTATACAGTATACTGATATCAGACAGTCTTGGAGAGGCAGTGGAGAAACCTAAGAAATGGAAGGATGGAAGAGTCAGAGTGAATTTTGTAAAAATAAAAGCATTGCTTAGTGGTGAGGATGGGGACCGGTGGTGGAAAGTGGAAAATGGCCATGTTCTGTCTGTAAGAAAGGTATTGGCAGAAACTTAATGATAAACAGCAAGTATGGAATATGGGTACACAAGAGGTGCAGTAGAATAGATGGCAAAGTGCAAGATGTTGCTGAATTTAAGTGTCCTGTATACTGTAGACAGGTAACCACATCTCAGTAGTAAAGGTGGAGAAACTCAACACTGGGGAATCTTTACCTGGACTGTGTCAATGAGTTCTGTTACTTGGGTGACATGATTAATGCTGGTGGGGGTGCTGAAGCCTACCCAATTGCAAGAAAGTTAATTGAAATAAAAATAATAATCTGGGGTAGTTAACCTGTACAGCACAGTACTTTAAATTTCAACTAATGGGTAATTAAGTTACTTAATTGGTTAATCAGCAAAGGTAATTTAACTCCATCAGCCCAAACCTGGTAGACTAGATATCACAAGGCATAAGTTTAACTACTCTCTTTATGGTAATAATTGATTTCTGACATACAGACGCCTTAAGTCTTCATAGTAATGTACTGTCCCTGCTCTATAAAGTTGACAGCCTGAAACTACAGAAATGTACAGTATATCAATGCACAAGACACATAACAGACTGTACAGTACCTTTATGGTTGCATACCTTTTGGTGTTGTCGACCATATCCTCATCAGGAGGAGTGAGAGCTTCATACAACAGGAAGCAGATCATAAACACCAGTGTTGTTAGTGTGTGGGCACGCCTGGAGAGAAGAAAAAACTACTTAATACTCCTCCAACTTAAAGCTCAAGAGAGATAATAATGTACATCACAGTGACCTGAATAAACACAGGCAATTGAGAAGGTATAATCTGACCCATATTATATTTGTCCAAAATTTGTATCTAAGCTCTGCCTATTTTATGGTGCAGAAACTTGTTATAACTTATAGTTACATAAAATTAAATTCATAGTTCCTGTGAGATCTTCGACTTCTAGTTCTACTTACTGTACTTTATTTTTCTTTCTTTCAGGAAGGTGATATCAAGCCACAACAACAATACTGCATAGTGCTGTATGAAACAATACAGTACTGTATAATTATGATATCCAAGGGTGTGAAAACCAATTCTGAAGCAACCATTTAACATGATTTTGACTCGTGTTTAAACAAATGGCAAAAAAAAAGTAACTGCATATGTTCTATTCATTTATAAAACAAAACAGGGATGACTATATACAGTATACATCAATAGATTATTATGCACACTGACCTACATTAAAAAGCAGGTCACAGTTCAACCCGAAGCCTTATTCAGTCAGTGATCTTGTTGAAAACGGTAGCAAAGTGCAACGAATTCTGCTTGATGACTACAGTATATTAAGCTGTGACCTAAATTGTCCAAAATATTGATGGTGACCGGAGGTTATTGTATAATTTTGCACGCAACTGCAGCATGATACTTCATGCAATAATACTTATTGCATCGCCAGAATTGGACAAGGCTGTTACAAAGAGCCTAGTTGGTGGGGTGAGCATTCATGTTCTGTTGACAAAATATTTTTAAAATATTTTACAACAAACATTGATTACTAATTATGTATTAAATTTGTCTTGACACACGGCGGATTTCGTGATCAGATACAGCTGACTTTTGAGTGTGAAGTTTGGGACACACACCTGTTACACACCTGTTCGTATCGACACATCAGAATTAGCGCTTGGATACATACTATCTACTGGAGTCAACACCTGATGATTGGTAGGTCAGGAAAGATGATTTTGCGTGTCCTAACCTATTTAGACTGTCGCCGAATAGCCACGGAATTATAAGCTAGGAGATGATGACTGTGACAACCCTCTACATTACGACCATGAAAAAAAACAATAAAATAAAATTACGTATCTTAATTCCCCTCCCAGAGACGTAGTTTATTCACAAGTCCAAAAGTTTGCTTACAGACTTGTGATTCATTAATCAAATACGACACAAGATAAACGCTAAAAACCTACAAACCCGATAAAGTATAAAAAAAAAATGATTACGAGGTTGTCCGATCACCATGTGTGCCGGTGTACAGTAGAGTATAGTGTAGTAACGTGTAATGTTGGTGTAAGTGTAGGAGGGAAGCCTTGTAGAAGTGGCAGTACCTGGGGGAAGGTGGAGAGCATTGTGGTTAAGTGGGAGAGGGAGAAGCTCTTAGGTCATGTGTGTGTGTCCTCCAGCACCATGCACTGTATCATATTATCTCCCCGGTCTAGTAGTTGGGTTGCGTGTGTCAGTATCTCCCCGATGGTGGGATTGATAATAATCACACCATCGCTAATAAAACTTTGTCCCTGAACTTCACGCGTGATAGCTTTACCCGCCACTTGGTAACTTAATTGAAAACTCGTTACCTGGTATTATTACGTCATTTAAAAGTGTCATATAAACTATCAAATTATGAGTGAACATGTAGCAATAGTTTCAAATTAGATAAACTTATATTTAGGAAAGGATTAGGTAAAGTGGTTCGGAAATAGTTGTCGATGAGTGGTTGGTACAAGTTACTGAATCACCATCAATAACTTGAACTCGTTAGGAAGTTTCAAATATAGATTGGACAGATATATTAGTAATAAGGGTTGGGTAAAAAAACGGGGGGGGGGGGGCCGTGTGTACCTAATACATGTACAGTATACGTCAAATCAAGAAGTCCACTGCAGTTTCCTTCATTCCTATGCTTTACCTCCAGCCCTTTAACGGAGATAGTTACTCGTATCTCACATTCTCTTCACCACTACACGTCTCATTTCCACGGTTTTATTATTAAACATGTAAACTATTTTGTACACTAAGGAAGTACAGTAACATCAGACGGGAGATGCGTAATAAAAAATAATAATATTAGCACAGAAACACTTTGGAAAAAAAACAAACTTATTAACAAATGAGACACACTGCAATTATAACTAAAATCAGTGAAAACGTATATATATGTGTGTGTGTGTGGTCAGTGATACTATACGGATGCGAAGTTTGTAACATTATGAAGGAAAAAATAAAAGCAACAGAGATATGGTGGTCGTGTAGGATGAGTGGAGTTAGTACGGGAAGAAGAGAAATTATGATACACAATTACAAGACGACTTCATTGTTTTTTTGGGAGGGAACATAATTTAAGAAGAGATGAGTAATAATGATGCAGTAAACCCGAACCACACACGACAATAGACGAGATACAACATCAAGTCACCACTTCCTATGTATTGAGTATGCGTACGTGACCACACCAGTAAATACCACCCACACGCTGCAATACTGCTTCTTTCTTTTTACGAGTCAGCACATGCAACGACAACAGTCAGGCGAGAAAGGTAATATCATAATGGAAATGATAATAAGCTAATGGAGAAGGTCATAAGTTAATGGGAAAGGTTGTCAGTTAATGGGAAAGGTTAAATAAGTTAATGGAAAAGTTATAAACTTATGGAAAATGTAATAAACACAAGGACAAGACAATATATGTATGGAAAAGATATGTTATTTACAAAAGACAAAGTTCTGATTGAAAAGGCAGTGTGTTAATGAGTAAGTAAAACAGGAAATGTAGCACAGATGGAAAGGGCAACGAACTAACGAAAGGGGAAACAAATTGGCGAAAAGGGAAACAAACTCACGGAAAAGGCGAAACAGAAAAGTAAAAGATGAAACAAAAGGAAAAAGTGAAACAGAAAAGTAAATGGTGAAACTGAAATGAAAGAGGTGAAACACTAACGGAATAAAACACACTAGCGAGAGAGAGTGTGGGAGGGGTGGGGAGGAGAGGGTTGGGGTAGAGGGAGAGAGAGAGGGGGAAGAGACCGAGCGTGAGGCATAAGTTCAGAGGTTGAGAGGGAGGGAGGTTGGAATGCCTTGGTTTAAAGCTCCCGGTACGAGGCAAATCAATGACTGACGAACACAGACAACTACAGTATAAGATGATGTTTTTTTTTTATGTGAATCACTTATTTATAACTTATCAATAAAACAGTACAACTCGACTCGCACAAAAAAAAGACGATAAATGATGACTCGGATCGTTATTATTAAAAAAAAAGGGAAGAATTTAAACGCCCACGGCTATCAAGTACGGTACGTGTAATTAAATAAGCTGTCACGGGCGGAAAGACGGTAAGACTGACAGGCTCTCCCGTCAGTTTGAATTTTACTAGTTATGATGGTTAGTTCTTTGGTTATCTGTTTTTGATGCCCCCCTTTTTTAGGCATACATACAGACACGCAGGAAGATACAGTCATAGCAACACCTAAAACAAAATGTATGAATTTCAAGAATAATTAAAAAAAATTATTTCATCGGGGATACAGAAACAGAAGGCAGCTACAATCCTTCACAAGATTTGGGCTTAACACCAAAGAGGAAGACTTACAGGTTAGGCTTCACACAACAACACAAACTGGTTTATAATTCTCACGGCTAAATATTTTCAAGTCTTAGGAAAAATCTACATTAAACGTCGCATACCACAGGCAGGCGGATGGCAGGTGAACGTTCGTCTGACGTAAGTTCTGTAAGTGAGGCATTCAAGTTGCAGGAATGTCAAGCGCTGTCAACTGCTCTCGTGCTGACGATGTTTTTTTATGACAGGGCCCCTGGTAATTATTGTGTCATACAGGGCACAGTACACCCCCCCCCCCCTCCCAACTATTCGTGGACGAATGGCTCCCAGCCAATTACTGTATGTTAAATTTTTAGATTCAGTCAGAATTATGCCCACCTTTCTTAACTGATCTTCTGGCAGTCATCCTCCAAGCAAATACCTTCTCTAATTTTCACACAGGCAACGAGACCTCGCTCTAGTGGCACTGCCGGGTTAGGTTAGGTTAGGATGATGTTTTTCTCCCAGCCAAAAACTGGTTAACCGCTTGGCATAGCTCTACCAGACATCATTGAGGCTTTCTCCCAGTACACACACTACATCTACCCAGCTAGTCACCAGCTCGATCACCAGGCGTGGGTTTATTCATACACCCGTCCAGGATAGTGTTCGTGACAAAATATATTCGTCCTACGATACTCTGTACATGTCCTTCATTTCATAGTTCATGTAATTTAATTAGTAACGCCAATAGGTCATACATAAGATAAATTGTATATACTGTACTTGCAGGGTGTTCCTAAAGTAAATTATTAAGTACAATAACTATGTTTAATGGTGTAATTATAATACAAATATTACTCAACCCTTTCTTCTTTACTTCAAATATAACGAAAAGAAGACGAGTGTACACAGCTGAACAAATGATATTTACATCAATAAAATTATGATTACTCTCTTGCATGGACTGTGATGCTCGGTGAACAACCAGTGTAATAAACCTGAACTTTTATTAGCAGGTTCGTAAAAAAAAAAAATAATCAGCATGTTTTCAGCCATAAAGACCATTATGACATACACTGATACGTCACTTTCACCTCTACCGTAATCCTGACGTAGGTGGTTTTTAGTCAGATACAAAACCTCAGAGGATTGATAAAAACAGCCCAAGACCAATTGGAGGACTGTGGTCGCCAACCCTCAGATATGATGACTGTACTAACCACGCGTATTTGTTCATTCATTCATCAACATAATGTACACCCACACACACCAATAATATGATATTTTTTTTTATTTAATAATAACCTTCTCAGAGATACAAGTACAGTACAGTATTCAGCAGGTGCCTTTCAAGAGACCTGGAGCACTTCAAGACTCGGCTTCGTCAATATTGCTGC